CCTGCCTCCAGGTTCCTGCCTTGAGTTCTTGCCCTGACTTCCCTCAGTGATGGAGTGTGGCCTGGGAGTTCTCAGCTGAAATTATCTCTTTTCTCTGCAAGGTGCTTTTGGCCATGGTGTTTAGAAAACAAATTAGAACAGGGTTTCCTAGAGACAGGGCATCACTATAAAGCCCAGAGGGTTCTGAAACCTACTCTGTAGCCTTGAACTCACAATCCTTCTGTGTCCACCTCCTCCTTACCAGGATCCCAGGCGTGTACCACTATGCCGTGCTCTCATGTGCTTTCTTTTCCTTTGTCATCAGGGAGTGGATCGTTTTCTAGAGCAGTCTGAAGTCCTAGGTTCTACTCCTAACTTCGTAAGTTGTATGTGCCATATACTTACCATGTGAGCATGGGTAATTACTTAGCCTTTCAGCTTCCATATTCCGATGAATGAGGGGGTGAGAATAAATAGTACCTCCCTCACAGGAAAGCTCTGAGGATTCAGTGAGAAAGTTTCTGAGAAAAACCCTTCTGTGTCAGCACATACTCACTGTCCAGTAAACAGCAAACATACACTATTTTATTTTGCCATTGCCTCCATAGCATCTGAAACGGACCCGGGCATACACTATGCATTCACACAGAGTCAGGGTGTGGCTAAGGGGAGAGGCCCTGAGGAGTAATGTTCTGACTTGGTTGTATGGTTCAAGGTAATGGGTCTAACAGTAGCTATTTCGGGTAAGGTAGACAGAAGGCAGGGCCATGGGTGGAGTAAAAGATGACATTAGGAGCCAGGGTACCTTCAGATGATTCTGCTCATATGTGAGGTAACAGCTGCTTCTTTTCACAGTTGAAGGGATGCCTGTGGATTTAAGATCTAAGGAAATTAGAGGTCCAAAAGGTTTGTAAGTATCACCCTAACTGAGAATCTTTGGGGATCTAATTTTCTGGGAGGCATTGTTATTTCGCTGGGTATGCACCCACGGGGAAGAGAGAATCCCTGTTGAGAGGAATTTTATTCAGAGACCACTCTGTTTCACACCAGACAGAACCAAGAGAACAAAGGGTATTTGTTGAAGCCATGGGGTGATCTGCAGACTGTGTCTTCCAACCCACACACTGTGGACCAAAGTGTCCCAAGATGAAACCCAAAAGTTACAAGTTGCCTTCACAAAGGTTAGATGATCCGGCATGAGAAGAGGGCATACTTTCAAGGCCTGGTTTCTCATCCTCCCATCCTCCGTATCCAAGGTCCAGGGAGTGCCATCCGGGTGCCTCCCCTCCCTAGTCCCTGTTGCTGACTCCCTGCTGGTGCCTCTGGAATTGTAAGGACAGGGAAGATCGGAGCCAAATCCCACAGATTCCAGCCAGCTAAGGGAAATTCATATCCCACAGCAACATCCATTTCTGTTTCTTCTACTCTTGTTCCTGCTCCACTGTTTGAAGAGGGTCACTTCTCCCAACTAATGTATTATTGACTGTTAGGAACTGTAATAGCAGTAACCATGACAAAAATAATAATAATAAAAAATCTCAGGCACACCCTACTTGAAACGGAGATGAAGACCAGGGGGGAGTTTGTGGATGGTACTCTTGACACTTGCTCCCAGTAATACCCTCATCCAGACTTTGTCTCCAAATTTCAATCACCTCTCACTAATAGCATCAAATTACAAACCTGTTGGTGGGTGAATACATTTATTAGGTCAGAGCCCTCAAGTTCCACTTATTTATAGATAAGGTCTCTCTATGTAAACCTGGTACTCACTATGTAGACCAGGCTGGCCTTGAACTCACAGTAATCCCCCTGACTCTGTCTCCCAAGTGTTGGGATTGAAGGAGTGCACTACCATGCCCAGCAAATCATCTCAATGATTATTTCCACCAGCTGGTCTTCAACAATGCCTTTGAAAGAACACTTCATATCCAAACTCTAACACTGAGGCTAGCCCAAACCCGTGAGTTCAGGCCATCCTCCTACCTCAGCCTTCTGAGTGCAGGGATTACAGGCATGTGCCACTGTGACTACCTTTAAGGTCTCTGGTTTCTTGATGGCTGTCAACCAAAGGTTGCTCTCAGTTATAAGATGCTGCCCGGTGTTCTCTGCTTTTCTGGCCTTTACACCATGACAATTTGTTCTGACAAGGCTGTCAGAAAGCATCTGCTACAGCCTCAAATCGCTGACTTCCACATCTAACATCTAGACCCTCTTTTACTGGGCTCACACATTCAGATTAGGTCTACCCACCCCCAAGGGGAGGGAGCATATAGCGCAAGCATACTGGGAGTGAAAAGCTTGAGATCTGTTTATGAATTCTATCTACTGCTGACCCCATGAAAATCATTTATCCTACCGAATGGGTTGTGGGATTTTTTGTTGTTGTTAAGGTTTCACAATATAATTTAATTATTACATTTCTCCCTTCCCTTCTCTCCCTCCAACCCCCGCCCCTTATACCCCTTCCAGCTCTCCTTCAAATTCATGGCCTGTTTTTTCTTTCACTAGTTGTTAAGGCATGCATATATGTGTGTGTATGTTCATACACATTCCTAAAGATTACGCGCTGAGTTCATGGAATGTTACTTTTGTACATGTTTTCAGCGCTGACTCTTTGGCACAGGACAACCAATTGGTGTGTTCTTCCCTGGAGAGACAATTGAATGGTTTTGAGAACATAGGGCTGACTGCTTCCTCAGCAGCATTCTCCATGCTGGAAAGGAGACAACGCTGGCAAGCAGTCTTCGGAATCCTCGAACCTAGATAAGGCTGTGTGTAAACAACTTCATCAGCCCCCGAGTATGGCCTCTTGCCTTTGTTTTACCTTTGGACCCTTCACAGATTTTCAGCAAGACAGCAGGAAGGAGGAGGAGGCAGCTCTGGGGCGGCCCAGGGAAGCAAGCACACATTTCCACTCTCATCCTTCTGTGTGTGCATGTGTGGTGCTATGATCAAACCCAGGGTTGCGTGCATGCTCCTCTTCTGACGGACATGTTTAAAGATGACTCAGTAATTCAATTTGATATCTCTGTGGGGCCAGCCTTGATGATGACCAGTTTACATGAAGGGCTCTGTATAAAAACATGTATTTCCTCATTCCTTAGTTGTCTTACCAGTTTTTCTCATAGGACTTCGTGCAAAGAAGTCCTTTACTTGAAACGTGTCTCAAATTGTTTCCATATATTTAAACAAGAGGACCACTTTCGTACTGACTCAGATTTTGTGCTCCAGCACCCAGCTTTGTCTACTATTGCACCCACCCTTCTCAACCACACGTAGTAAGTACCTTGTGTGCTTAGTGATACTAGGTAATGATGCTACTTAGATAAGCAAAATGTTGTCCCTGCCCACCAGGTGATGCCACTTCTGGAAGACGTATGTGCAAAGGGCCAAGAGCATGATGGGGGTAGACATGGGTGTTTGAGTCACAAAGAACAAGAGGGAACTAAGGGTATGGGTCTTTGGGAAGATGGCGTTCCAGACATAATGGACAGGCTGTGCACAGTTCAGATAGCAAAATAAAATAGTATGTTTATGGAATGGCTCATGATTCTAGGACACCACAGCGTGGGAATGAGAGTACAGGAGGCTGCTGGGAGACGGAGGGGAAAAGGAGCCCCCAAGTGTATAAAGAGGTAGGGTTTTAACCTTCAAGCAGCAGAAAGTTGGTGAATAAGTTTGAGCAGAGAAAAGGGCTAATTCGTTTAGTGTGACAAGAAAAATATAAAATATACTATTCACATTTTATAATGATTCCATGTTGAAATAATATTTTGTTTAAATCAGATTCAATAAAATACCTTATTAAAAATAATTTCACCTGTTTTCAAAGTTGCTCATTTTTAAAGTGTTGCTGCTAGGGAATTTTCCTTTGTGCATGTGGCTTACAATTGTGTGTCTGTTAACGTTTGCTGGGCTGGGACATTGTTGATAAAGAAGAGGGCCAAGGACAAAGGCCCAAATGCTATGTTTCAAAACCAGGGCTAGAAGAATGGGCCATTAGAGGAGCCTGAGAAGGACCAGCCAATAAAGAAAGAGGAAAATTTGGGGAGTGTGATGTTCTCATCAGGAACTGATACAAACGTTTTAAAAGGGAGAGTAGGAGAGAGCGAGACGCTGTGGGAAGGCTGGCTTTAGGCAGAGCAGTTCTGCTGTGAGGACCAAGCCAGGCGGTTCTGGAGCCCTCGCTGGGACAAGCACAGAGAATTCCAAGCGAAGTCACAGAATGAGTGAGTAGAGACAACTCGTGGATTTTGTGCTAACAAGCCCGAGAAGGATGAGGAAGTAACATGAAAGGATTTGCAGTGAAGGGGAGGTTTATTCATTTTGCTGTGATGGTGGGTTTGGTGAGGAGGGAGATGTTCCACAGGCCCCACCCGAGATGAGTGGTTGCTGGTGGTGATGTCCTCGGGGCATTTAGGATCAGTTGAGGGAAGGGGGGCATGTATTCCAGAGAAAATTTCTGACTGAACTCTGGGGTTAAATCAAATTCCTTCTCGTAGTGACAATGAGTTGCAGGGGTGTCTGAATACTCTTTTTTTTCCCCTTTGTTCTTCCTTTGTCTTTCATAAGTTTCTCTTTAGTGGTTCTCCTACCACCGGCTATGGTGAGTCAAGGACGATGTGAGCCAAAGATGGCTGGGCATCATTTGGCTCCTTTGTCAGGGGTTTCTGAAGTTCAGACATAGTTTTTTTCCCTCTGTGAGGCATGAGTGCTGGGAAGGACTGTCATGTTCACTAAGATGGCTGCGAGTGTCAGTGATTCCTCATCCATCACTTCCCCCTTCCCCCAGCCATAGGCAAGATATCCTGTATATCCATGTATTTGCCTCTTCTGGTCATTTCCTATTATTGGGATTACTGTCTTTTTAATACATGATACCTACCCCTAGTCTCAATTGCATTTGTATGTCTTTTCTTGAATAGTTTAAGAATATAACTTAAGGATAAGTAGCAAGGTGAAATGATTTTGTTGTCCTATATATTGAAGGAATCATCTTTTCCTCTTTTGTTCTGAAGGTTTTCAGTGAGTTTACCATGGCTGAGTCATTAAAGGAAGTGTCCAGCAGCATGGAAGCTTTGGAAGGCTCAGAGGAGGGTAAGTCACATGATCAAATCTCAATGACCAGTGCTAGATTTGCTGTGTACTGCCATCAGGAAAAAGAACCAGTCCTCTCAGAAAGGAGACTGTTAGAGGGGGATAAAGGGAAAAGAGGCCTTAAAGGAGAAGTGAGGAATTAAAAATAAGTAATAGAATACACGTGACTCAAAAGCAAAATGGAGGCTACTAGGCCTAGGAAGTGACCAGCAGGAGAAGATGGAGGGATGGAGGAGGGTGGGGCATGGGAGGGGAGGAGCAACAAGGCCTAAAATCTTTGCAGAAGCTTCTATTCACTACAGTAAAGGTATTTCTGCTTAGTCATAAGTAATAACCAGAACTGAAGCACAACATCATGAATTCCATTAAGGTTTCATTGCAGATAGTACTTCAGATTCAACCAAGGGAGGGATTGGTAAAGCGGACAGAAAGAAAAGAGGCCATCACAGGCACCTAAGTTCAGGGTATGAAACATCTCATATGCACATCCTAGCTTTGAATGTTTATGCATATGTGGGTGTGGTTGCAGAACAGGCAGCCATGATGGTGGCGGGGAAGAGGTGCTGAGGAAGGGAGGAGATCTGCAGAACACAGCAGCCATGATGGGAGCGGGGACAACCGGATGGGGAGGTGAAGGGGTGCTGAGGAAGGGAG